GGCATCTGCACGATTACCATCCCGGACGTCTGTGAGCCAATCGGAATGCAATCGACATGACCCCTTTTCCTCGTGTTTGAGTGCCGCCGTGCTTCTTTGTTCCCTTCTTTGTGCGATGCCGTGCGCGCATGGTGCCGCTGCTTGCTGCACAATGCCGACTCGCGTGAACGAGAAACGATGCTTTGACTGCTGGCGACCGGCGAGCTCTCCACTCCACTTACGCACCACCAACAACAGCACCTTTCGGACGCGCTTGATGGCTGGCGGTCGTAACGCTGCCACGTGGTCTGCCTCGGCTCTTGTGTGTCGTGCACGGCATCGGGATCGCCCTGTGATGCAGCCATTTGGTAAAAAGAGCGGTGCCAGTGGTCATGTGGCTTTTTGCCGAGATTCCGCCACTCAGCACGGTGGCTGTACGGGGTTGTGTGGGTGGTGGGAGGGTGATGGTGTCACTGACTTGATTGCGTCAGCGCGGCTTTGCTTCGGCAGTTGTACTGTGATGGGGATGGTGTATGACCGGATGTTTTTGCGTGCCACTGTGTTTGTTTACTGTTTTTGCTGCCTTTATTCTTATTTTGACGAAGTAATTAGAGATACTTTTGCTTGACCAGCACAACTATCGTTTCAAGGTGTTAGGAGTTAATTGCAGTATTAGGATTAGCAGTATTATTATAACGATCTATCGGAATTGTATCACTGGATTCGCCATCTGTAGGAAGGGATTTGCTAGGCAGGAGTTACGGTCGACGGGGCGAGTGCGACACACCACGACAGCCCTGTTGATACCTGTTTGGGTTAGGGATGTGGTGTGCGGTAGGTGCGTGTCCGCGCAGCCGGCACCGTGTGCGGCACAGGGCCATTGCGGCTGTGCGTGTGGCGCTGCTTGTGGTGTTGGCGCTGGTTGCGGCGGCGGCGTGGATGCCCGCGGTGCATGCGGTGGTGCTTCGACTGCGGGGCGGTACGGTGGAGAGAGCCATCACGATTGGCCGCGCCGTGGACACGGTGCTGATGGACGGCGTGTCCTTCACGAACGGCGTGGCTGTGGTGTTCGACGTGCCGGCGATGCTTCCCGGTGCGCTGCGCATCGAACTGAGGAACTGCGTGTGCGACGGCGGTGCGCAGGTCTACGTGCGGGGCTACAGCGGTGAGCCGGCGAGTGACCGGAGCCTGGAGGTGAGCGTGAGCGGGCTGTCCGGGAGCTACTGCTCGCTTGTGTTTGTGCACAACCTGCCGGCACACACGAACGTGACGGTCCGTGACTCGACGATTGTGACGGCGGGACCGATGCACTACTCGCAGCTGAGCGGGCTGACGGACGCGTTGGCGTCGCCGCTTCTGCTGTACGCGACCTCGCTGTTGCAGTCGCAGCTGCGTGTGAGCAACACTGTGCTGAGGTCGTTGCAGGCGGGCGGGTCGGCGGTGTACGTTGGCGGCGGCGTGGAACTGCTGTCGAGTGCGGTGGTGCTTGACGACGTGTTGCTGGTGACGTCGGGCGGTCCGACCGCGTCCGCGTTGCATGTGTCATCCTCGACGCGTCTCAGTCTGCGGAGCCACTCGGTTTTCTCCGTGACGAACGTGTCGGTTGTGAGCAGTGGCGGCGGCATTGTGCTTGGCGAGCACCTTGCGCTGTCTGACTCGGTGCTGCGCTTCGTGGGCGTCAAGGGATCTGTTGCGTCGTCGCTGGTGCGCTGCGACGGTGGGACGTTCAGTGCCGGCGGGTGGCTGGAGCTGCACGACGTGTGGGCGGTGGGCGAGGCGTCGTCTGTGGCGTCGCTGTCGGGGGTGACGCTGAGCGGCGGTTCCGTGTCGATTGCGCGCTGCACTGCCACCGGCGCTACG